TTAATTCAACTCATGGAACCCAGCAGGTACTCAGTGACACTGGGTGATGTCAACAAATACCCTCATGCCTTATCCATCCCCTCCTATGTCTTGCTCTTTGTCTGATGCTTAAAGGAAAGCAAACCCTGGGATGGCAAAACCTAGAAGAAGCCTGAGTAACAGGAGGAGAGGACAACAGGTGGACCTTGTTTCTCCAGTTCCGACTTCCCTGTCTCTAGGACGCCTTTGACATATTCTGGACAGATGTCACTGAAGAGCCACTGCACTGTTTTCCTTGTCCCTTGGTCCTGGTTGAGCACTTTGATGACCAAATCTACCCACTGGGGGGCCTGTGGGACAGGCTCCCAAGCAGTTCCCTGGAAACTCAGGATATGTTCTCCTTGATATGCTACATGGAGAAAGTGTTCTGAGACGTTCCCAGGGTGCACCTCACAGCCACCAGACAGCTGCAGCTCCATGGGATCTGTGGAGAGAAACGTGTAGAAATCAAAGAAGGTTTTAAAAGACCGGGACAAAGGAGAGGAAACTGTTCTGAGAGTTATATTGAGAACCCACGGTGGAGGGAAATAAGAGTCGGTGGTCAGGAGTAGGCAGGAACAAGGTGTTGTTTTCAGAAGAAACAGGAGCATCTCCAGGCAGAAGTGGAAATTCGAAGAGGTGCAAAAACAGAATCTCATCTGGTGGGAGCAGAGTCTCTCTTCTTTCTGTGCTCATTCTCAAGCCTCAAGTGCCCGCCCAGGATCCCATCCCTCAACTCACACTTGAAGCGCAGCATTTGAGCGAACTTCCGAACGTCTTTTGTGAAACTGCTTCGGAAGCCCAGATACAGGTGCTGCATTTTGTCCCATTGTTGGCTGCTGAACGTGCCGCGAGCCCAGGGCTTCACAAAACGAATAGTGTCCGCGGCGTTGCTCCAGCTGTGCGTCTGCAGCTCCCCGAGCCACGCCACGCCCTCCGCGCGTGTGGAGGTGTTGCTGGGAAAGGACGAGGTCTGGAGCCAGAGGAAGGTGAAATTCTTTTGCGGGACTGAGAATGAGTGAAGCTTGGAAGTGTACAGCGAGTGGCCTACGGAGCAGACAGCATAATGAGAAGCGTGGGGAGGGGCCGGGAAACAGCCTCAGGAAAGGAGACTGGGACGCACGAGTGGTGATTGCCAGCCCGGAGCAGCGCCGCGTCTCCGAGGCCAGAGCAGGTTCTCTGCAGGCTCCCTGAGCCCGGGATCCCGAGACCAAGCCTCACTCCTTTGCCCCCACCGTGGGTCTCCCTCACCCCAGTGCAACCCGTTTTCTCTGTGCTCTAGGGAGAGCTTCCCCTCGCCCTGGTTCCACTCACCCTCATAATTTCCCGAAAGCTGGGAAAGCACCCACAGCAGCAGGAACCGTGCGCATCCCATGTCGCCGGGCGTAGGAACCTCGCGGGCTCCGCGCAACATTGGGCAAAGCCCTCTGCGCTCCTCTGCACGCCTCGCCACCTGCAGGCTCAGCTCGCTTCGCTCTGGGCTACAAACTCACTCCTTAGGCGGTTGCTCTCCTCTTCTGCCCGAGATCCCTCTGGCTTTAGGCTATTCCAGCTTCCCAGAGCCCTGAAGGGGTGGGAGGAGTCCCAGCGGTGTCGCTCCTACGCTAGATTTCGCAATCACCTGGTCTTAGCATCTGTTTCGCTCATTAAACCGTTTGAAACAGAACTTGGGATGCTTTACAACTGTTCTCTTAGTGTTTTTAAAAGTACGTCAAGGTGTATATATGTCACAACTTGGACAGTGTTAAAAATGCAAAGAAAAAGGGAGGAGGAAAGGCTTGGGCTTAGCCGTGGATGTCTCCAGGTGGAACGAACTACGTGTGATTTTAATTGGCTTTGCCCTTTTAAGTCTTCCAAAATGTTTACAAGTGTAAGGATTATATTTACAATAAAATAAAACATTGAAAATGATTTTCTCAGTGGCACATTGAGAGAGTTTGACTAGACTGGCATTCTCTAGAGCGTTCATATCCCAAGATTCATCCATTTCAGTGTTTCCCAGTTTCTCTTTCCTCCTATGATGGCCCTTGGTATCTTCTGAGCCAGCGTCTTCTCTGATTTCCTGACTCCCTTTAGGTTTTATTTTTGTTTCTTGTTTGGGTTTCCTTTTCTTTTCTTTCTTTCTTTCTTTCTTTCTTTTTTTTTTTTTTGGTGGAGGGAGGGGGATACAAGCATATTTCATTGCACTTCACTTTAATGCTGTATTTTGTGGAATTTGAAGATGTGTGGCAACCCTGCATGGAGGAAATCTATTAGCACCATTTTCCTAACAGCTCAGATGATCTTAAACAGTTTTTAGCAATAAAATATTTTAATTAATGGATACACATCTTTTTCACACATAATGCCCACTTACTGGAGTACAGTAATATGCCTGACTGTATGGGTGCTCCCCTACATTCTCCTCCACCTCTCACCCCTCCTTCGGGCCTCTCCTCCTGCTGGCTGCCTCTTCTACCTCCTGCTCACTCCTTCTCCTTCTATTCCAAAGAAAAGACATAAAATTAAAGTGCAGATCTGTGAACCTGGAGAGCCAAGTACCCGTTCCTCACACTGAAAATAAGAAACTGACAACAACAGTGGCTCAGAGCCCTTGTCACCTGGTCGAGGATCCCTTCTTTACTCAGTCAGAGCCTGGGTAGCTGCTGACCCTCTCCCATGCCAGCTGGGCTCTACCTTACATTTCTTAAGTGGCTCTCTCTCTACATTTCCTCATCATCACCACCCTAACCTTTTGCCTGGTCCGGCTGGTGGCTCTTTGTCAGGAGAGCAAAACAATGGCATGACCTACAGGATCACACAGGCCCTCCCTGCTCAACTCTGAATAACCTCTGAATACCGTCTTGCCTTCCAGCTTCCCTTGCTCTGCACCTTAGCCTCTCTGTCAGCTTTCAGTTCCTCTACGATACACAGCTTCTTCCTGCCAAAAGCCTCTGAACAAGCAATTCACTCTGCCTGGGGAGCGCTGGCCCCTCTGCTCCCCTCACCACTTCCTGGGCCTAGTTATTTCCACTCTGACCTCAGGCTCTGAGGTCAATTTCTCAGGGGAGTCTTCTGAGCCTCCCAGAGTGTGAACAAAGGCAGGAGAACTAGGCCAGCCCCACCTGCACCCCTTGCTCACTAACTTGTTTGGCAAACCTTTCCTCCCAGCACACGCAGAGCCTGTCATTATAGAAACATTCGTGTGTGTGTGTGTGTGTGTGTGTGTGTGTGTGTGTGTGTGTGTCTCTTTCTGTGTGCTCTTGTCAATGGAGGGACAGGATCAAATCTCCTGGCTCCAGTTCCTCCCATTCTGACCTCATGAATATTACCCTCTCCCCACACCCAATTGTATCCCTAGAGAGTAAGCTTCTGCCCCTCACTCTAAGCTGAAATCCCAGAGATGGGCCTAGCCCAACCTACCTTTCTGTAATGAACGTTGTCCCAAAACAGCTTGAAAGAACACAGAAAACTTATTTTTGTAATCAAAATAAGAAACTAAATGATTAAATGAGACTTCAAAATAGTCCAGATAGTGGATGGGAGGGAAACCATGGGCATACCAGTAAAAAGAAAAGTGAATCATAGTACAGTACTTTGCATTCTCCAAATATCTAATTTCCCTTTAAAAATTTTAAAAGAGTTCTGTTATTTATATTTCAAGTTTTTCAAGTGCTAACAGTTTTTCAGGCTTAAAGACACGAAGCTATTATTTTTTTTTATTTGGCTTGGTTTTTGTTATGGTTTTTGTTATGTGTTTTCTGACCAATGAAAGCAGTATAGTATAACCTCCATTGATGGTTATCTGTACTTAAACAATTTCTTTTCTCAAAGGTCAGTTGATCCAGACACTTTTGGGCTATTATAACTTTCACTATATTTTTTCTGAGAAGAGAACCATTGAATCCAGGAACTTGTTGCAAGGTATACCTAGAAAGATTTTTATGATTTTACTTTTATTAACATGTATTAATTGTACATATTAGTGGTATTCGGTATGCTTTTTCCACACATGTACAGTACGTAGCAATCTAATGCAGCCTCCCTCTGTGTATCCTCCCTTTCACACACACAGCATTTCTAACCTGTTAATCCCTAGTCTACATTCAGGTGGACTTCTTTTAACTTCCACATGAGAGAGAGAG